GGTCCCTCTGGATGGCCTCCCGTCCCTCCAGTGTGATACCCAAAAAAATCATACCCCAAAACTTTTTACAGTGTTAATAATTTCTACAAAATCTACAAACTCAGATTTCTAAACGACCCATAAATCAAGACAGCACCAAGCTTCCATTATACGCATTTTTTTATTTGAAGACAGTCAATCTTAACCGTATTAAGTTCTCACCTTTACCTGTAAGAATAAAAAGTGATGAGAAGCATATCCCATGACGGGAAGAGCAGAAGCTTCAGAGTTATCCAACCCCTCCACCCCTTTACTTCATGCTGTCTCTTAATAGCTTAAGAAAACAGATTGCTGTTTTTCCTAAATTATGAAGAAGTTTGTCTCCCTACAGGCTGGTGCATGCAACTTTGCCAGCGATTTACAACAAACGGTTCTCCCTCTTTAAGGAAACACACCATTTCTGGTTTTTCTCATCCAATTTTCTTCAACAAAGGCTGAGGACCTCTACGTTATGAGCAGACAGGAGCTCTCACTCTAATTCAGGTGCCTGTTTCAGGATGTTTAGCTGTAGCAGCTGTACTTGGTGGAGGTCAGCTGTTCTCAAAGAGGACAAGTCTTTATTGGTGCAGAGCAGCTTTCGGATCCTATACTGACAGGAACGTTCAGTTACGGAAAACAACTACAAGGTAGTAATCAAAATTCTTCTAAAGTAACCTACACACGCGATTTCAATTTCTTTTTAGGAATCCATGAAGATTAAAGAATCTGTATTATTTATTAGGTTTATCAAAGGAAGTGATGGAAAGACTGTTAAATTTCTAAAGGCCTTATCAATTCTTTAATTGTAATTATGAAACTGTATAAAGGGCTAGACTGCAAATGTTCAGAAAAATCAAGGTTAAATGCCCTGAATAAATTGTGTGGGGATACACCACACTCAACATAACACAGGGATTCACCTCCCACGGAAATCTCAAAAGATTTTCTGAGAAAAGCTGCCTGGCACAACACAACTGCATATCAAATGAACCATGCTATAACAGCTCCAGAACGGTACGTGGTTCTATTCTGGGATAGCCAGACTGCTCCCAAAACGCAGCCATCCTAACCGAAAAGTGAACGCGCTCTGTTGGAACAGAGGGTCTTCACCTGGGAGTAACTCACTTGCACTAAACCCATTTTCAGGAGCGCTGGCTGGTGACATCCAGGCAAAACCTTCTGCCTTCACAAGGGAACAGCACCCGGTGCTTCCACCGTCACGAGGCCGAAGAAAACCTTTCCTACCATTTCCGTGCTACACCGAGTCTCTTCCCCACCACGCTGATGCAAAGTGTTTTTCTCCAAGACAGTGACTGTCACTAAGAGACCTGACTTTTAACATCAGAACAGAATCCTCTATGTTCATTCTGAACATAGTTCATGATCTCTTTTTTTCTTCCAAATTGCTTCTATTTTGCACTGATAACGGGTATTTTTCTGGTAGCTGAGCTCACCTGTGTCTTTCTACAAGCCAGAAATATATCCATCTGGAAATGCTGCACTAGTGAAGAAAGAAAAGATTAAGCCAAATTAAAAAAAAAAAAGGGCGGGGGAGGGCACAAGTCCACCATTATCACTGCAAAAACATAAACGAGCAAGTTCTGTCCAAATTAAAAAAATCCCAGATGATTTACGGCTCCCCTATTCATACTGGAGTCAGGACACCACGGCAAAACCAAAACATTTTAGGAAAACATTTGGAGCAGTTAGAAAATACGTATTTAAAGAACAAAAGAATGTTTGCTCAAAAACAGTCCCATCAAGACAAATCATAGTCATCTGCATCTCTTCTAATACACATTTTTCTCTTCAGGCCTTTTAAGGTTCAGACTGGAATAGTCAAAGCCATCAGCAATGTCTGCAGGTGAACCAAAAGACCACCAGAGAGAGACTACAGAGCAGGAGTGACGGTGGGACTCAATAAAGCAAATTTAATAATTTCAAGAAGATTACGCAGTGCATGTAAAAAAGTCAATACAGAAAACGAATGGACTTATACTGCGTGGCCTGAGCACTTCTGCTACACAACGAGCTTTTCACATACAAGATGTCACTAGGCTCACCAAAATAAAAAAAATAAATTAAGGAGTCATGTTCTTCAGCCTAAGCACAGTAAAGCCCCAGCGACTCACGCCAGCTGTGAGACCGGCCCAGCATCCTGGCGGTGGGATGCAGTCCCTCCAATTCTGTGGTTCTATATGGAAGTGGGAAAGACGTGGCTCCCAAATCTTGTAGTGGTACTGCATGTGGTAAATGAGGGAACTGGAACGCTACACGATGTCGGAATACATTGGGTTAGGATATCTACTAGAATTTGCCTCTAAAACCACAAAGATTTGCTTGTTGACTGACAACTCAGCCTGCAAGTTCATGCTCTGAAACAGACTTTTAAAAAATCCATCACTAATTCAGCCAGCGAAGGAAGACAGAAAGCAATGATGCCAAGAGCAGTCACGTTCTGCCAGAGCTCTGTGTAACCCTTCTAACACACACCTTTAACCAGAGTCATAACTCTACAGTTTGTATGACTTTCAAACTCATGTCAGATCACTTTTTGAAAATACCCAGCTGAAACTTTTCAGAGCTGTTTCAGGACAAAACTGTTTATTACTTCTTTTACGTACTTCCTTTCTGGTTAAGTCTAAATTTTCTGCAATTGGAGGCCTTTGTATTAACAATGTGTTTATAATTCAAAATGGCTCATGAATCTTACCACAATTTAATACTTACTTGATGATATTTATTTTATGGCAAAGATGTTTAATCCTCATATTATTCATTAAACAAGGTTACAATGACAGTAAGCAAGACATTCTCTGACTGATTTAAACGACATACCGATACTTCCTCTTCTGCTGCAGTATCCATATGGCTGTGAAAACTGGATCTGTCATCGTCTTCATCCATATAAACTGGAGGTTCATGAGATGTCATGAAAGTTGAAGGTTTGAAAAGATGTTTATTTAAAGGATGCTGCCGTCTACTTGATGACTACAGTGAAAAAATGATATATTTTAAAACACATTCCTTGGCTATCATTTAAGTAATCCTCATCGATAAAACCTTGCCAGAAATTTGCTCTTTTGCACTGAACAAGTCTATCATATTTCTAATTATTTGTACTTCAACCTCTCTATCAGAGCCTCATACAGCTAGAGTTTTTCTCCCCCATAACAAGCGAGATCAGATGAACAGTGCAACACTCCTTTGGCAGGATCACAGTAAGAAAGAGCCCTTACCACAAAACCCTGCCGTCTAAACCGAGGAGACAACGATAGGAAAACAGCAAATAAAGCTGTCCAGTTCTGAAGACTGAGAGCCAAAGGACAAAGATAAGAGAAGACGTGCAGGAGTCACGAACGGCGCGGGCGTGAGACCGAACAAAGAAGTGGTTTTGCTCAAGTCCAGGATCCAGGAGACCAGTCCGGGCTTGACACCTAGCACCAAGTTCTTGGATTAGCTTGTGCCTTAGGAAATTTAAGTCTAGGCTAATTGCCCAGATATCTTTCCTAGTCCAGGGAGAGAAAAGGCCACTCGTGCCACCATGAAAGAGGTTTCTAAGCGTTAGAAACAACTGCTCTCTGAAGGTTCTTTTTCATAGCCACTGACTGGAAAAGAAACCTAAAACATGTTAGATGAGATAAATTACTCCATTAGCGTATATATAAAACCTTTCAACTTTAATGCTGCCTGAAGGTGTAGAATGCATGGCAGTTTTAAAATAGATTACTTAAAGGCACTCAGCCCTTATTACTTATTCCCCATGGCAGAACAAAAAAGAATAATTTAAGGTGAAGGAAACTGACTCAACTTTTTACTGAGCTACTTTCCAGACCAGCATTTTGACATCTTACATGTCAAATCTTACATTCCTCAATTTACTGAACACTGTGCGGATCAAAAATCACAAGTATGAAAAGTGGGGGGTTTAATCGCCATAAGAAAGAGGATTGTCTTACACCGCGTCGAGCTTCTGCCGCACAGATAAAGCGTGAGGAATATTGACAATAGTTAATGTTTCCTCTTTTTATGCAAGACTTTTTACCCCAAAGGTGCCTACACATCTTTGTTGGCAACACAGACGGTGGGATGGAGAGCACCCTCAGCAGGTTTGCCGATGGCAGCCAGCTGCGTGGTGCGGTGGACACGCTGGAGGGACGGGAGGCCATCCAGGGGGACCTGGGCAGGTCCGCCTTCCCAGCACAGACAGCTCCGGGAGACCTTCGGGGGGGCTGCAGGAAAGGTGGGGAGGGACTCTTTACCAGGGAGTGCCCCCCACAACAGGGGGGTGGAATTACAAGATCTTTAAGGTGCTTTCCAACCTGAACCACGCTGTGATTCTGTGGTTCTGTGTCAGTTACACATCTGTAATTCTAGAATACAACCATTGAGCTCTAAAGAGTGAACCAGCCTCTAAAGAGGGATTCAGCATTATCTGACAGCCCGGCAGTAAAGGCAAAGATCACGCAGATTATCTTAGATGCCATGTAGCTACGCACAGAGGAGCGTAAGAAGGAATTGAGACTAGCTGTAGTCACTCCCAAGGGAAGAGGTGAGGTCTGCAGTAATGACTGGAAGCTGGTACCCCAGACCTGCAGAAGAACTACAGCGCCCAAAATAAAAATGAACATTTTGTTCTAAGACTAACATACTATTATCCATTGTGCTGAGTTTTCCACCTTCAGCCTTAGGATTACTGACTTCCCCTGTGTTGCTGCTTTTCTGGTTTCCTTTAAGAGTTCAAACCCCCCAAAATACTTCTATTTATAACATTAGACAGTATTTCAGCTTGAGCTGACACAGTAATTTGAACATTCTGTTAACAGAAGGCAGATCTGCATTCAATACTAGATCTGGAAATCAAGAAAGGGGAACTGTGTTGAGGATTAAACAGCAGCACCGTTGTGCATACAGTTACAACCTAGGAATTTAACTGAGGATTTGAATTATCTTTTTAACAGGATTCTACTTCTGGTGAAGAATGAACTAAAATACTACATAAAAGCAGACAGTTAAAAAATCATTCTTCCTGTGAGAAATGTATCTTCTGGATTAAGCTTAAAAGCAGTCGCACTAATGGTATTATGTAGGCATTAAATTGAAAATGATAAGTCATAACTGAAGAACTGAACACTAGAGTTCTAAATCTCTGATTCAGTTCTATTTTCACCAGTAGTAGATAATGGTTATACAGGAAAATAAACTGATCCACCCTGTGTGACTTCCTGTATCACTTACCAGAAGAGACGTTATGTCACGTGAGGAGACACACCAAGTAACTTCAACAAGGTGTTCAAGAACTGAACAAGCTTCTCACTCCCCAGTGACCATCTAAAAGAAGCACCCGGGGCAATCCCCGCGGAGAAATGCAAGGACCTTCTTGCAAAGCACCTCTCTTGACACAATTACTTACACTAAATACATCTGGTTTCTATTCTCCCACAGACACAGGCTTTAGGTATCAACACCCAGTTTCATACTTCTGTTCTCAGCAATAAAGCAGACACCACAGCTGACAGTGTACGTGGTATCGCGGTAAGGATGAGCACTGCGCGGGCACGGCCAGGCTCCCAGCACCCCTGGCACTTCCCTCCTGGCACGCTCTTACCTCACCGGAGAGGTGGCAGTGACCGCAGCCTGGCACGGCGCTGCCCATCTGTGCTCTGCGCAGACAGCCACACTCGCAGGCTGAGAGCACAATTCCCACCCCCACCCCACCGGTCTGATTTGTCACCTGCTGTATTTCCTACATGGGATCCAAACACCAAATGGAGACGCTACCTCGACGCAAACCAGGGCACAATGACCTTACTGTTACGGCTGGTAACCGGGACCTGAATCGCCCTGTGCGAACAGACCCAAGTGTCAGATTTGCTCTACACCTAAGCTTAAGGAAAAGCTGTAGGATGGTGGCCTTACCGTTGCAGTATGAGAATGTTAAGAATTTTATAAAAAAATACATTTCACACTTGGATATACTGTGTTTGTACGTGCAGCAGTGGGGTTCAAGAGCTTTATGGATCACTGTTCAAATTAGTGAAAAATACAGTTAAAATGTCACACAAGTGCTGATTAAGTACGGCCACTCTATCAAATAAGTGATCCGCTGCCTGGCAGCACTGCTCACATTCTGCAGCAACAGTCTTTCCAAAGACAGCTAAGAGGACAGAGGAAAAGACATGCGACTAATGGTGAGGTGACATCACGATCTCAAAGGACAGTAATTTTCAGAACTAAATTTTCAACCCCTTTTGAAATCAGCCCCACAGTATGGTAAACCGCAGGTAATTTAGAGTTCTGACAGATGCATCTCCCCACAGTACTTAAGGTATCAATGCTTCCAGCTGTTTTTTTGTTTCTTCTGCCAGCAAGCGCTTTTCCAATAGACAAGGTGGCAGAGTCACGTCTGCCCCTTCCCTTCCCCTGTTTATAGAGCAGAATAGTAGATCAAAATCCTGGTGAAAGCAGAATGGCATTACCATGACGGATGGCAAACTGGAAAGCCTCTGATGGGAGCAGTTATTGTTTGTGGTAACGCCAGAGAGCACTAGGAGACAACTGAGGGTGTGGAACACTAAATCGTGAGAGATGAGCTCTGGTAGATCTTCCTGTCGGCCCCTCAGGCAGTGACTTTTGTTCCCAGCCTTTAGAGGGACTAAATCTGCAAATCTGCCTTTTGCAGAATCAGTGTAAGGCTTACTCTATTCTTAACCAGAAAACATCATGGACACCTTGATACAAAAACATCACATGACTCTACAAAACGCCGTTGTGTCAGGTTTTAAAGAACTTTTGTAAACACGACTAACAAAAAAACCCCAAATACAACAAACAAAACACCCACAAAACCTGAGATCGCCCTCTTCAAGTGTCTAGTGTCCTCATGAGTATCCAAGAGTATCACATTATTTAAATCAAAATATATCTGGTCTGCACAGAAATCTAGTCTTTTCTTTTGCAAATTAAGACAACTTCTCAGGACCATATTCTTTTCTCATCCATTCCAAGATCAGAAAAAGCACCATATTTTAATGGTCATTTACATGACCATTCTATTTTAATGATCATATATGTTGCAAATCAAAATAAAACATGACATTTCAGTCTTAAGCCTATGCTTGTGCCAGTTCAGTATGCTCAGTTATACAGAATTTTCCATGTTTTTGTTCATTAGAAGATGACGGCACAATATGAATTACAGGGCTCCTTATCCTCTTCCAACAGGGTTCTCATTATCCTCTTCTAGACCAATTACGATTAGCTTGCAGATGAGGATAAAGTACCCCAAGACCAATCATTCGGCCCTGTCAGTTCAGCCTGCAACCCGACTGCTACGTTCCCTTTTCTGACACAAGCCCCCGAGATTATCCGACAGAGATGTAATTAATAGATGCTGACGTGAAACTAGAACAACACCCAACTCACTCTACAGTGCTAATGGCAAAGGAAAAAGATTATTAAGAAATACATGTAAGGTGGAACTAGTTTGTAAGAAAGCACTAATCAGGAGTTAAATCTATTGAAACTATTAATGATTTTGACTCAATTTGCCTATAAATGCAAACAGAAATACAGAATTTTTGTTGTAATATTGTCTCACCTTTTTGGAATATAAATACAAGTTTGGAGTTCTTCCTGGAACTGGAATACCAGCTTTAGTCAGTTTAATAAAATATTTTTGCACTCTACTGGCAACCTAGAAAAAACAACACGTGACAATTAAACGCCAAGTGTAACAGGCCTTCGCTTCACCATTCTGCCAGCATTGCTACATCGGTTCAGAACGTAAGGACAAGAAATCCTCATCTTCTGCTTTGTGACAGCTACTCCAACCACCACTATCTTGCAACTCTGCATCTGTAGTATTTCCAGACACTTCGAAGGCTTTCAGCAAAACCACCCCAACAAGTCAGATGCAGAACTACTCAGTGTCTCCACACCCGTGTCCTCCTGTGGATCTTGGTCCCGGCACAGAACCACCTGTTCTGCCTGTGTCCCCCTCTCTGCCCACCCTGCGGCACCCGGCGCTCCAGCGTAACGCTGCCCCCAACTCAAGGGGTGCTGCCAAAACCGACCCAACAGCCAGGTCTGGCAGCTTCGGCGTGGCTCTGGGGCGCCTTCGGAATTCTGTCTTTGAAACACAGTTGCACTGCTGTCATGTGAAATGCAGGCCCTGCTGTTACGTTCTTAAGAAAAATTAAGTGATCACTGAAAAGACACTGGATTTTATTTATTGCTATTTAAAAAAAAAAAAAAAGACAACTACAAATAAATCTTCTGTGAATCTGTATCAACTGCTAGACGCAGAGACTGACATCGCTAACACCAGCACAAGCACTCAAACAATGCCCAAGCAGTCACATTTTTTTCTAGAAAAATAAGTTTTATTGCTTTAATTATTAACAAAATGAAAATAAACCCTCTTTTAAAATCACTCAGTTTGTGAATTGTTTTTTCTGTCAAAAAACCCCTCAAATTAGAAATAAATTACTTGAAGAGAAACCTGGATACAATCTCTTACCAGTGCCTCCTAAAAAGCTTAAAGTCACAGAAAGGGATTATTTCTCAAAGCATTCTACTTGTTACCTGCTTCGCTGTTCTATTGCCCAGCTCATCAGCTATCTTCTGCCACCGCCGGGACTCTACCTCCTCTGGTGGATACTTCAAAAGCAATTGCTCAAGTTTTTTCTAAATCAACAGGGAAGAAAAACAAATACATCCTTCCTAGTAGAGACAGCAGTTGTCAAAAGACAAGCATCTACATACACGTCACTCTGAACTTCCACGTGCTTTAAACATTATTGCACAGTTTGCTTTTACTCTCACGTATGCTACCACAGCTACAAAACGGAAGAGCTTCCCATTACCTGTTCCTCTACAGTCCACAGCTGATTAAAAGTTTCAGGTTTGGTCTCATCGCAAAGTCGCCCTCTTATCATCTGCTCAAACAGAGAAAATGAGATACAGGTTTAGAAAAAGTAGAGTTAGGATAACTTGATTTTAACTCTTTTCCTACCCATGGAAAACCAAACCAATTAAATGCATGAAAGTGTGAAATAAAATTTGCCTAAACCAAAAAAAAAGTTCTCTGATTTCAGTACATGAATGACATGTCATCGCCAATATTAACATTTAAAGTAACAGTTAAGATTATCCATATACTCATATTAAAAAAGAAAAAAATCCAAAAATTACTATTTAGTAAAATTTTATCTTTCTTTTGTAACAAGTACCTGCGGACGACTGTTTGTAGAACCTTCTGGACCATCACTTAAAGGCAAGACAGAGTATGAAATAGACTCTCCATCCTTCTTGGGATCCAAAGGACTTTTTGGTCTTGCAGGTATACCTACTGTAAGCAACACAAAGAAGGCATTACTAAACCTCCACACCGCTCACTTCTTTCTCGTACTGCACGCCCGCTTTCCTTTTACCTTTGTCAAAAATCAGCTTCACCCTCCTACTGTTACGTTTTCGGTTTTTGAATTCTCTCTCAAAGTTTCCAAGGCTAGTGGTGTATTGGTCCCAGGCAATCTCAGGGAGCTGAACAACTCTCTGAGGATATGGAAGACCCATATCGACCTGAAAAAACAAGAATGGAAAGTGAAAAGCAGTATTTAACGCAATCGCTGTACAGCCAAACAAGATCCTACGAATCCTGAAAAGTTATGAAAACCTGATACTGCTTCTTAGCCAACAGCAGAATTCAAAATCAGAATTTTTAAAGTGCCATGCAGCACACAGTCTTTTTAAGGAGAAGATATCTTTCAAGAGTAATACACAACAGTGCACATAAAATATGCAGCGGCACGGTCAATGATGGCTTATTGAGCATAAAACTCTAAAGCGTGTATTTCACAGCTGAAACCAGGTGTTTCTGACCTCCACAGCCTGTCACTGTCCATCTGTCTCTATCTTCGGTCAAACGTACCCTATGCCCAGGAACTACACTCTTCTTAACACAGGAAACTTCTTATAAGATTCAGAGTTTTATCCTCTGATAAACTTAAACTTCCTCCCATCAAAGAAATCAATGCATATTCTACACTGATTTTGCTGTCTTCTGCCTAGAACACAACTTGGCAAAGCTCACCGCTTCAGTTAAAGGTCAACCTTAACAGTATCATCCCTTTGGTTTGGAGACAAAAATACACCAGATACTGTCAACTATCGTTAGTATCTCCCCCTACAAGGATTATCAATGCAACACTATTACATCATGCATGCTGTTGACTCGTCTCAAAATTTAATGGGAAGGCAACTCCTGAAACCAAGGGGCTTACATCAGACCTATCCTCAAACCTAGGCTCTCCAAACCTAGGAACAGAACCATAAAACACCTACTTCATCCCTTGCTGAAATACAACGTCTCGCTACCAGGCTAGAAGGTCAAGCGTGTTTGTCACCATTAGACGTGGCAAGAAAGCATTCAAGCTTTAAACACCTTTTCAGTATCCGTGCTACTATGATTATTTTTTTTAAAAAAAACCCAACTTGACAAGAACATGTTTCCTTATAAAAATTAGTTCTCCTCCCTCAGACACTACTGCGTTATCCAGAGCTCAGGTATCCTTTCGAGTGGTCATTTTGGTTTTAGGCTACGAACTACACTTCCTGCTCTTTAAAAGCACCCTACCAAACTCACTCACAGTACAACACAATTTCTCTAACAACAATTCTTGAATGATGAATGATCTGATGCCTTACTATGAATTACTTCCAGGCACCCTTAGATTTCAGGTTGTCTTTAACTACCTACATTACAATTAGAAATTTAAAGATTACATTTCTACAAACCAAAAAAAGGAAAGAAAGCATTTCTCAAAATCATCAAAGACCTATGTCTTACAGATTTAATATGGAAACAAAGGGCCATTTTTGCTCAGCAGATAAAGGATTTTAAACACATAACGTTTAAGCAAGTATGTATAGAATTCTCTGATTTCTACAGATGATGAATTACTAGTAAGTAAAAATAAAATATTCCAAGTAAGACTTAAGAAAAGCCCATTGAAATACCTTCTTCTGGAGTCTTTCCACAAATCCAATAGGATCTTTCAGTGCTTCTCTCTGGTGTCTGCCTAAACTTTCAAGGTCTTGAACTGCTTGAGTACGTTGAGCCTCGAGTACAGCAATCGTCTGTAACAGTCTCTGATAACTACAGAGACAAAGGAAAACATCTCACTAAATTTGTCTTTGAAAGTGACACCCCCACATCTAAATACTAGCCATGATTATCTACTAGTATCTACCTGATTTCATAGCCCATCTGAAACAGTTCATAGACATTTTTACTGTATTATATAAAAATTACATCAATCTTATTTTAACTAGCAGATGAATTTATATAAACCCATTTAATAAAAATTAAATAAATAAAACCCACCAGTGACTTCCATTAAATGTAAATTCTATACTAGCTAAAACTAGGTTGTCCCTGATGCAGCATTTTCATATTCTCAATAGCTGTGACCAACAAGCTTTGCTTACAGAGTTAAAAAAACACAAACAAAACGACCTAATTTCTCTTCCACTTCAAAACCAGGTTCCTTCCACGCCAGTACAAACGGCTCTACCACAGGATTTCATCACCTCGCTCCAGCACCCACGGGTGGGCAGGAACGGCCTGGGGACCGCACCTACAGTCCGTGGAAGCCTCACCAGAGAGCAGGACCGCGAGTCACTAAGGAAATGTAACGACAAACCAAGGAACAAGCCCATGCGACACAGGTACCCACAGAGCACAGGGTCCCCAGGGCTCGGCAGCGGGGGAGGCTGTCCGCTCCCCCACGCCCGCCGCGCCGGGCGCGCCGAAAAAATGGCAGCAGCCCCGTTGGGAGTCGCTGCTGGGACTGCCGCCCCGCACCCAGCAACGCGCGTGTCCCAGAGGGCTCCCTGCGAAGCCGGCTCAGCCAGGAGGTCACGCAACACCGTAACACAGCCTTTAAAAAGCGGATAGCTACGCTGAACACCTTTCACGAGCTCTAAGGGTAGAGGTGTCCACTGCAGTTTCCCAGTTGCCCACGGGCCCTGTTGCTGCACATCATTATGGATCAGCCACACGTTTTCACGGAGATGTTTTCTGACATGTAATATTACAACTGTGTTTTAGTTCAGCACAAAGCGCACACTAAAGCCAGGTAAGATGCATTCACTACTACAGTATTTCCGTAAACCTTCTTTCTGGTCCCTTACTGCTAAAACAAAGACAAGCCTAACACGATGAATCCCATGTGCTTGGCAGAAAAGATCCAGAGGTTACTGAGCTAATGCAAGTTTTCCGATTGACTGCGCTGGTAATTGGGTAAGGCTTTAAGCGGAAAGAAGTAAACAGCCCCAAGGCAAAATACTGGCTTTGTACCATCAAATATTTCAGTTTCTACCTAGAGATGCAATTTTCTTTCCACTCCAATGTAATATTTGCATAAAATATAGCCATACATTCTGAAGTTTGAAACCAAAATACTGAGCTTGTTTAAACCAGTCGGATACAACTCTGTTACGAATTTATTATTATTTAGATTTGTCTGCACATATTCAGGTTTATAGGCAACTAAGACCTAAAATGCTTGTTAAACAGGCCATTAATATTGGAACAGTAGTGGAATATTTTCACTACTGAAGAAGTGCTCCCTTTCTTTCTAAACAAAATAAAGCATAAAGCTTCTTCACATAAAGCAAGACAATTAATAGAGCTTGAACAGGTGAGATTAGTTATGGAAACAGGCGAGTTAATCCTCAAACAGGTGAAAAGCGAACTTCAGAAGTCCCTCACAAAGGGGTGAGGGCACACCAAAAGCGGCCGGAGCCAATACCGCAGTCAGAGGGTTGCGGCCCTACAGGAACCCTTGTACTCGGAGTGAAGACCCTTACTTGGATTTTAGGAGCAGCACCTGACCGCGGCCTGGCTTAGCGCTGGGAGCTCCTCCTGGCAGGCGCCTGCCCAGCGTGCTCCAGAGAACCAGTGCGGGCAGGCTGCTGGCGTCCGCGGCAGCACCACGCCGGAGCTCCCTGGTTCTTGGGGGAGAGGATGGGACCCGGCCGGACAGCAGAAAGGCACCTTATCCAGGTGCCCCAACGTCCATACGAGGCGCTGGAGCTAACTCGAGTCATGGTGACAGAAGCACAGCAGCATGCACTAAAACGTGCATCCAAGGAGATGTTCAAGCATTACCTGCCTCTCTCTGCTTGAGCCATTTTACCTCATTTATTCAACCTGTATTGACGTGATTGCTGTTCCAAATGAAATGGAAAAAAAATAACAATTTCTTTAAAACATTTACATACAGAGAAGAAAAAACGCAACCCAATGTTGGCAGTTTAGACGAAGTGCTAGTTTAACAATGATTCACGTGTGCAGACCGGCACAAGAAGTCATTTTAATGAGGTGGCCTTCAATCATTAAATCTGAACGGAAAGAGAAAAAATTACATTTGGGGAGAAACAGCAAACAAAACAAGAATAATGAACTCCAACTACTTCCCTCATTAAAACATTCATGTGACCTCACTGAAGCGATCACGGACTTGAAAATAAACGGTTCAGAAGCGACACCTCTGGTCTTCGTGGAAATATGTAAAACATTACAAGAACATCAGGATCGTTCAGAAACATGTCACGTGATGTTGGTCTGTGGCTATACAGCACTATTATCATGTAATAATTCAAGAGAGAAAAAGGAGGTTTTGAGCAAACTGTTCAGACAAAAAGATTTCCCAGCACTTCTTTGTGCCTCCGCTAAAGAACTGTGTTAACTTGGAGCTATTTACTTCACCTTCCATATTCAGCTTTTATGAATTAATATATTCTGAAACCCAGGAAAAAGACTGCAATTTTATGAAGAATATCAGAAGTATTTAAATGCACAAAAATGTGCATTTTGGGGGTCTTATATTGCCAAGGAAAACCTGAAAATACTAATCCTGAAATACAGTTTGCATAGTCCATATGCAGGGACTTCAGACTTGCTGCAGTACTGCATTCTCTCCAACCCATCACATGTCTGCTTAAATTCCAACAGGAGTTTTTAACCGACTGTATTATAATATGTCTGCCTATGTTAAGGTTTGAACACTACTGTTTTCACAGGTTTGTACAGGCTTTTAGTTCTCTGGCCCAACATGACTGTAATAGAGCCAAGTATTTCTCTGAAAAAGCAGTAAGCCAAATAACAACGCACATGTTGGGCACTTTCTCGAAGCCTTTGTCTGTTCTGGCTTCTTAAACTCAAACAGTAACGTACCACTTCTGCCACATCAAGCAAAAGACACTGTGTGCATAATTTCCAGGACTATTTAAAAAAAAAAAAAGAAAAAGAAAAAGAAAGGTGGCCAACAGTCCTACTGTCCATCTTCCAAGGTTCTTTGTGAATAAGCACAACAGTTACGATTCAAACTACCACCTGCAGCTGCACTAACGTTCCCCAAAACTAAAAAAGCCTAATGCAGGTAGACAGAAAGTAGATGGAACCTACTAGTTTGCTGCAAAACTGGCCCCATCCTTCAATGAGACAATCAAAAGAGCCACCGTCTCTACATTACCCAGCTACAGTTACACTGCTTTCTCTGAAAGAGCTGTGAGGAATTACTAAGGAAAATTCTCTTACATCTTCTGCACAATCTGAGTAAATCTGTCAGTCATATCCCCTATGCTGACTGAACTACACTCCTCTCAGCTCTAATTACTAAATTGTTAGCACATACAAAACCCAAAGCAGGAGAACTTTCAGTCTACGGAATGTAATTCCGTGTTTCCACAATCCCAGTATTGAAACACTCTTGTAATTTCTTAAATCATGTTAACTGCCAGGAATCCTCTCCACGAACACTTGAATAATTCAGTATAGTACAGGAACAGTTTCAGTACATCTATGCTGAAAAACCTTGAATAACACAGGCTTTTGAGGGACTGATATTTAAAAAAGGAAAGCCGCCTCTTGGAGACTGATATCGATTGGCAGGGATTCCGGACAATTCAGTTGTTCTGCTGCAGTGACAACTACTCCACTCTTATAAATTGCTCCATAAAATAATTATCACACAGCAGAGCCGTATTTCCGGAAGTCCTGCCATAAGCAATCCGTAATCCCACTCTTCATTTCCATGAGCCTTGCTCTAACAGTGATTAGGGACACAGCAGCCTCCTCTCGTGCTGTGACAAAGCTTGAGAACAGCGTAGCTCGTACCCTAATGAGCCCCACACTTCCATTTTGAGCCAGTTTTCTGAGATCTACTTTCAAGATGCTTT